CCTTTGGTCTAATGTAACACAAAAAACAGTTTGAAAATCAAAACACGCTCCTTTAATGTGTGTGTCCATCATGTGACATAATTTATTTCATTCAATATCTAGTCTACTGCTGTAATATGTACAGTAGAAAAAAGAAGATGTTAACTTTTGTGGAAAAAAAAATAAAATTATCTTTTGTAAAGCATATAGTTTAAGAAATAAGACATATTGTCTCTGTTTTCTCAAAGCAGCACCCATGTGACATGAGTGAGGAAAATAAAAACAAAGATGTTGGCAGGTATGATAAAATCAGCAGGGTCAATCAGCCAGGAGGGGAAGAGTACATTTTAATATTTTCTTTGAAGCCCCAATCATTTTATCACCTTGAGATAAGAGTTCAGACCTTTTAAAGTGGGATTCTGTGGAAATGATCAAACAGATCATATTAAAACACGTGTGTGAACACCTGGACCAGGAATAACAAAAGGATTGAAACGTGTTGTGCTTTACAGAGTCAGACATGTTGCTGTGGTGTTCAGCTCATCGAGTGGATCAGTACAGAAGTTGGATGCTGTGGAAACAACCCATGATGCATTGCAGTCTGAGCTAAAAGAGCAGGCTAGTTGAGGCTAACTGATTAAATTTCAATTATTATCCTAAGGTCTTTTAACTCTTTGGTCTTGGCTGCAAGGTTTGGGAAACTGTCAGAAAAATGTGGTACTGATCCAAAATTTAAAACAGTGTCACACTTTATTGTTTCACAATGCTGTGCAGCTTGAGGAATAGTTAGACGGCAGTCCTCCGCTTCACATGTGTGATCATGAGAAATATGCAGATAAATATGTTCCCCATTGTGGATTAAAAGAGTATAATATTTATTGTTTACACATAGGTCAAATCTAGAAACACTTGTTCCGTTCTGAAGCATTTAGTGATTTAAATCCATAGTTTTTGGTCAAATTAAGTTTGTTATTTCATAAGAATTTCAGTAAATCCTTAAGAAGACATGATGCAACAAAAAAGTATTTATTAAAAATATAAATTATGTGTCAGTGTTCTGAAGACAGATGATGTTAAAGCTTTAGGACCAGCAAAACGATGTCCATCCGCTCACATGCAGGTGTGTATTCAACCTGTGTTTCTGCTTGTTTATTTATTTATTTAGTGTTCCAAATGTAAAAACATCCGCTGCTCCACGATTCTTTCTAATGTGTAGTGACAACTTCAGAACTGCATACATATATATATATATATATATATATATATATATATATATATATATATATATATATATATATATTTATATATGTTTTTGTGACACGGATGCCTGCAGTGCCAGCACAATGCTAAGACATCACGCATGCCATTGAGTTTAGATTTATGAAAATTTACAAATTTACACTGTTCAAGTGTTGCGATTGTGTTAGGGAGAGTAAATGTCATGAATACATTTGACATTAAACATAATCAAAGTTAAAGTGTTACATAATTTTCATCTGCATTTGGTGGCAGGCCAAACTGAAAAAAGACCATGCAGAACAATGTAGTATTTTATATCCACAGCAGAGAAAGATATGTAGTCTCTGTAAGTAGGTCTAAAGAAAAAAATATCGGTATTGGTATTGATTACCGGCAAAATAAGTTTAAACATATCGGCAGGTCCCTGGTTCAAATCCCGGTCCGGGGGCCTTTCTGAGTGGTTTGCATGTTCTCTCCGTGCATGCATGGGTTTTCTCCGGGTACTCCAGTTTCCTCCCACAGTCCAAAAACATGCATGTTAGGCTGATTGGTAACTCTAAATTGTCCCTAGGTGTGAGTGAGAGAGTGAATGGTTGTTTGTCTCGTTTGTCTCTATGTGTCCCTGTGATGGACTTGCGACCTGTCCAGGGTGTACCCCGCCTCTCACACAGTGATTGCTGGACATGGGCACCAGCGACCCCCATGACCCAAAATGGAATAAGCGGGTAAAGATAATGGATGGATGGATATATATATATATATATATATATATATATACTGTATATATATATA